TTGTAAAAAGTGGTTAAGATTTTTAATAATATGAATAATAATAATAGTTTGGTCTTCATAATGAACCGTGTAAAACCCCTCGTTACACCATAAAATTCATGTTCGTGTGAGGTGGGGTAAGGAAAAAGAGCTATTTCTTCTTTTTCTTATTGCACTTTTTAGAGCTGCTTTTTGTCGTGTTCTCGCTGCTTTATGTCGTGTTCTTAGCCTAATTGTTGTGAGAAACTTATTAAATGGTGTTGTTACGGGGGTTGAGAAATTAGACGATAAGCAAATTAGACGGAGGTACTTAAAAGGAAATTAGACGGTTTTGCAAAACTGCAATTGTGAGAAAATAGACGAAAGTGAGAGATATTAAAATTGTTTGCACACAAATTGCGTTAGAAAAGTAACATTGTTTGCAGACAACAGTTCAATTTCGGTGGCCAAAAGTTTTACAAGTCAATCGGGCATAATTTAATCAATTCAAAACTCTCCTGTTATATTCAGATTTGACATTTAATGTTCATTTAAACTAATTGTTTTGATAGGTATCGACAATTTATGTTCTTGGCTCTTTTTCCTTTTCCCCACCTGCAAATTTTTATTTGTAAATTTGTTGACTACATTGTCCGATTGCTATGAAAATTTACATACAGACTAATGAGGCCACGACAAACATATTTGGTCGTCATACTCAACCTCGTAAAACCACTCGTTACACTAATATATTGAAGGTCGTGTGAGGTGGGGGAAAAGGAAAAAGAGCCATGTTCTTTTTGTATTTGTGAAACTTGGTTCTTAAGAAAAAATTTTGTTGGCCCTTTCCTTTTCATAGCTTTTTCGTCTAAAATGCCAGATCTGTTAAAAAATTCCGTCTAATTTCGTTTTAGTAGCATCCGTCTAATTTGCTTATCGTCTAATTTCCTAGGCTCCGTTGTTACAGATACAATGAATACGGGGGTAGCCCTCTAAATCACGCCCTGAAAATGATACAAGTCGGGCAGTGCACTAGCCTTTATTCGAAAGCGGGCAGCGTACTAGTCCAAGAAACAATCAAAAATGTGTTCAGCAACTCTATTTCCCACAATTTGGTTCAATACTGCTAAATTCCGACCCCAAGAAGTAGCCTCAGTTACACTGTGAAAATATCCGAACCAAAGACGACTGGAATGACAATCAAAGCCAAAAAGAAACTTTAACCAAAATGCCCATGCGGGTCTTGCTCGGAAGGTTGCAAAACAAACTCTATTGTCCGTCATTCAGTTAGATTTACCGGACTGTCAGAAAGCGAAGGAACAAATGTGTATCTACGGAAAAATGACAACGTAGCGAGAATAAAGCAAGTGGCATCGGTTATAGAACTGAACGAAATACGAGTTAATAACTCAATTCGAATTGGCAAATATGACAAAGATAAAGTCTGAACAATTATAATCGAGCTTCCAACGAGAGTAGAAGCGGATTCATTGACTTCGAAAGCAATCAAAGAAAAACTAGGTAAATCGCATCAAATCTACATCTCACCTCACCTCACTAAAGAAGAAAGGCTAGAAGAAAAAACTGCGGAAAAAAAGACGAGAATTAATCAATGATGGAACTGATCGGAAAAACAAGAAAACTCGTAATATGACACTAAATGGAAATAGTGTAGCAGTCAGTGCCTGATTATTACAGGTGGTTCTCTCAATTCCATTAAGTAATGCCAGCTCTTTAAAAAAGAAGGGAGGGATCACAAGACTTATGATTGACACTAGATACACTAAACTTGACTTTTGTTTGATAACTGAAACCTGGCTGAATAATGATATCACCGATTTGTCTCTGAACATTGATGGATACAACCTTTTTCGAACTAAAAGGAACTTCGATTCAACTGTTAAACAGGGGGAGTAGGAGTATGCATGTTTGTGAGAAACGAATTTGTTTCAGAAACCTTAACTTGCGTAAACGTGAGTAACGGAAGATTCTATAGCAGAATTTCTCTGGATACGAGTTCAAGTTGCGAACAAGTTTTTGGTTTATGGTTGTGGCTACTACGCGCCGAATTCTAAAGCAGACAATGTTTTGGCTGACTATCTAATCCATGTACGTGAACGAATGTTTATGGAACATCCTAGTTCTCCAGATCTCATTGCTGGAGTTTTTACTATGTTTGACGATACTCTCCTAGAGAATTTCTTCGATTTAGAAAAACTTCCAACACCGACAAGAAACAATAATACCTTAGATAAGATTTTTGAACAAACCAGGAATGTACTACTTCAAACCCATTTGACTACAGATCATCTGGCGCTGTTCTGTAAACCGTCAAGCCCTACAACGAAAGACACAGTAAACAATACAGAGAGATGAACTTCCAGAACAGAATCCGTTTTGGTTTAAACTTAGACTTCATCAGATTAATGGAACAAATAGGCTTCGACAACATAGATCAAGCCTCCTACGATCTCCAAACCTCTCTCCTGGATATTTTGGACAAGTGCTGCACCCTTAAAACAGTCAAAATGAGCAGCAAGGATCCAACCTTCATGACACCCTATCTCAAGAGACTGTTGCGCAAAAAATACAAACTGAGAAGAAAACAGAAAGAGAAATCGTCACTGGAAGCTGAAATACAAAAAGAAATAAACGCCAACCTGACTAAAAGTAAAAATGGGATTGCTATGTGGTGGAAAGAAGTCGACGCGCTTTTGGGGAAAGCAAGAAAAAACAACCTCAAAAATGACAATGACCGAGACCTACTGAACGCTTACTTTGCGTCCATATGCACAACGGATACTTACGTGGAGCCGTCACTATTGTTCAGCAGCCCTGCCATCATCTCTGAAGTTACCATTGAACAAGTATACAATGAAATGATTAAAATAAAAAAACTGCAACCGGTTCAGATGGAATTCTCTTCTTGGTGTGGAAAGAAAATGCACATTCATCGGCAGAACCCATAGCACTCATATTGAGCAAATCTCTGTTTCTAGGTAAAGTATCCGTAACCCTCAGGCTCTCAAAAAATGCCTGTTGCTAAATGCTCCAACCCTGAATCTTTCAACGATTTAAGACCAATCTCAGTCACATCAGGGGTGTCCAGACTATTTGATCGTATCATTATGAAAAACTCCCTCCGACAAAGTTATTGCGATTGGTTTTCTTCAAATAAGCATGGGCTTAGAAAAGGGTGTTCCACATCAATAGCTCTTGTTACTCTACAAAATCAAGTTGGTAGTTTCGATGAAAAAGTATATGGTTACACCAGAATTATGTCCATTGACAAAACTTGAAATTCCCAGCTCTATAGTGGGTTCTGTCGAGATACTCTCAGGTGTTGCAAATCTTACCTCCAAAGATGCCTGCTAACTCTGTTTAGTTTCCAAGAAATGACGTTTTTGATATTTTTGTGATTTTTTTTTAAATCTTTGATCTGAAACAATTGACAAAAATTGGAACTTTGAATTCTTTAGTGGGGTTATGTCAGGGTTTTCTCCGGTGTTTCAAATCTTGCCTCTAAATTTTCTTGTTCAAATCTTTTTAGTTTACGAAATATGAAGTCGTTTGTTTTTTTGAAATTCTGAACCCTTTCGTCGTGTCTGTCGGGTTCTCTCACGGGTTGCAAATCTTGCCTCCAAATATGCCTGCTCAATCTCTTTAGTTTCCGAGAAATGGCGTTTTTTTTATTTTTCGAGTTTTTTATCTTAGATTTAAAACACTTGACAAAATTTGAAAATACGAAGTCCATGTGCAGTTCTGTCAGCTTACTTTTAGGGGTTGCACATCTTGCATCCAAATATGATTGCTCAAAATCCTTTAGCTTCCGAGATATGGCGTTTTATAATTTTTTAACAAGATAGTTTTAACAAAAATAGGTTCAAACACTTTCACAAATTTTGAAATTCTCAATCCTATAGTTGGTGCTGTCATAGTACTCTCACAGAGTGGAAAGTTTTGCCCTCAAAAAAACTGCTCAACGTTTTTATACTCCGAGATATGGCGTTCTTTTGATTTTTCAAAACTAAAAAGATAAATATTTCAAATTTTGAAACAACTTCTCAAATTTTGATTTTGTCGACCTTTTGATGGTGTGATAGCAGGGTACTCTCAACGGTTTTAGATTTAGCGTATATATGGTGATTGCTTAAAACTTTTTAGTTACGAGATATGACGTTTTGGATTTACAAAAAAATAAATAAAGAAAAGCTCGATTTGATTTTTTTCTTCAAATTTTGACTTTTTCGGCCCTACGGAGATGTGATGTGAGTTTACTCACATTAGCTCAGTTTTTCATTGATCCGCCCATCCCTCTAGCCATCCATCCATCAAGTCAACCATAATAGCCATCCATCCAACCGTCCATCGAGTCATCCAACCATCAACCCACTCTTTCATTTATCGGCAAATCCATCTAGCCATGCATCCAGCAAGCCATCCGTTCAGCCATCCATCAAGCTAATAAGTTATTAAGCGAGCCATTCATTTAGCCATCCATTCATCAAGCCATCCATCTATCTTGCCATCCGACCGGCTATCTGTCTGTCTAACCAACCAGCTATCCATCCATCCTTTTAACCATTCATCCATGAACTCAGCCATCGATCCATACATATAGCCATCCATTCATTTTGCCATCCGTCCATCCAACCAGCAATCCATTCATTTTAAATCCATTTAAGTGGGGATAAATAAGCTCCAATTGGATAAAAACAGTAATCAATTTAGCAACACGATGGGAAATAGAGTTATATTTAAGCTTTGTTCTCCTTGCTGGAGAAAATACAAACACCTTTTGCAGATGACATCGTGGAATGAAAAAAAATTTTCTACAATTACGTATTTTATCTTCATTCACAATTTTCTTGATAAGTTCGTAGACATTCAACTCATAAACTGTTACTATTCTGTTTTTGACATTTCTTCTGGTATTGAAATATTGTTTAAGAAATACGCTTCCATTCGTAGATATAGGTTGTTAGATGCCGACTGCGCTGTCTACTAGGACTGGCATAGACTGATTGAAAGTGATGTTTTAGGGAGTAGAGTTGAGATAATGTGCAATGAGCCATATGAAGATGGCCCAGGTGGTACTACCGGGCAGTACACGAGGAAGCACTATCACATCGGAGAACGACTGCCCAAGTGGGCCACATCGTTAGTAGAATAGAACAACGAGAAAAAATTCAGAGCCATCTTATTTCTAGAATTTATAGTTCAATCAAGTGCCATTTTGTGGTCATTTTTTGAAAATGTTCAAAATACAGTTTCTTATCTCTGGAAAAATTACCTGCATATTTAAACTTTTTTCGCATAATGGAACCTGATCTAAACTACATTTTATGATTGGATAAATTAAATGTTTTACCAATGTAAAGTATTTAATATTAACCAATCATGATCCATCTAACTAACAACCCACTTATTTGTAAGTGCTGAAGTTACTTGTAATTTCAGCACCAGAGAGATTTGAATTTAACTTAGAAATTAGTTGGACTCTCCCGAGCACTTCAGCAGCCGCAATAAACCAGTATACCCTAGATCTATTGAGCCTAGCAGAGACTAGTTAAACAACCTGAGACTAGATAGTATAAGAGTAAGATTAGGATCGGTATTAGACTAAGAAGTTGCACGAATCTATCCGGCCGAAAATAAGATAGCGTGACGAGCAGACGGTGTACCCTATCCGAAATTACTCTATGAGTTATACACTCCAGTCATAACTCATCTGGTGCGACCATAAGTCTCGAACAAGACCTTACTAGATTAGAATTAACCAAAATTAGATTAGAAATTAGACAAAAACATTTAAAAAATGTTATACGACAATAATTTAATTGAAATGTCTCTCCGACTCAATAGATCAGAGCCAATATTCCGAACCATAATAGAACTACCCGGAATTGGAAGAAGACCTCGAACCAAAGACGACATACGACAAAGTAGAAACTTGCCGTATAGCTATATGATAGTTCGGCAAAAGCCAGAACAAACTTTTATATTTCGAATACTACTTGCAATGAATTTAGATTTCCATTTGCAAACATAAAACCTTGAAGTTAATCTTCAAAATCATTTCAGGCGCTAAACAAAATTAATATTATACAATAACGATTGATAAAAAGATCTAAGATCGTTTTTCTAAAACTCTGCAGTATTATACAAAACATGTTTGAAAAATATTTATTGGAAAATAAAAATAAAAATTAGTAGCATGACAATAAATGGTTAGTAATCATAAATCATCTTGTTGTTCCAGCTTCATCACCTAAAACATAACAGCAATCATCAACTCACTAATATCATCAAAACACTAAATCTTTCCTTTACACAAATTTAAAACTTTATTAAAACTTAAAGTCACTTAATTTAAAATCAGATCATCAAGGCTTATCCTTGGATCTTAAATCATTTTCTACTTAATTAAAATCTCAAATTTGATCATCAAGGCTTATCCTTGGATCAAACAGAACAATTTTGTTCTCCCCCACCCACTTAATTAGTGTCTAACGACCTCAAACGTCGATTCACTACCCAACCCTTTCTAAAAACCCAGGACTAATAGAAATTTTTACACAAAACTAATCATTCAAATTAGGATAAACAGTGAAGAACTTCGGTTATTCATCCTTCACTTGACCCCCCCTCTTACCAGACCCAGGATAAATCCTAGACTTAGTAAGTTTAAAATAGTATCTAACGAACTACTCGCGTTCTAATTATACCTGAACCTTGTGGATCGATTTACTATTCTCCAACCCTTGAACACAATCACTACCCCTAAGTAAGATTAAGTAAGTTAACACCTTAGCTTATACTAGTCACGAGAAAGTAAAAATCATTCTTCGGAATCGATATACTTTTCTCTCCAACCCTGAACAAATAGACCCAGGTTAAGCTAACCAAAAAATCGTAAGAACTAACAGTTTAAGAAAATAGAAATCATTTAACAACTTTTTGCATCCGTCATTCTAAACCTTATGTCATTTAAAAACCTAGGAAATAAACAAACAATCATTTTACACAATTGTGAAATAGATAACAAAAAATACGACCTTGTAATCACACCTCATACACAAACAGTTGGATACATTCGAACAAAACGACAAACACTAAAGAGGAAAATAATAACTAAACAAAGACAAATAACACGAAAAAGATTTTCAAAAAATCGAAACGCATTTTCAGAATCAGAAACCAACAGTTTAGACGAACTTTACAAACTAAAAGAATCAATCGATAAAAATTACCCACAACACGATCAATTATATTTTTCTGACTCAGAAACAACTTCAAATTCATCACAAAGAGGAAAAAGAAGAATAAAAAAGCAGTATAAACACAAACCAGTACATTTATACAATTGGAATCAACCAATTCGACACATTAATAATTACATATTAACAGTCATCGAACGGAAAAATGAGTTCAACACACACCCCAGGTGACGAAACTCCAGATGACGATGAAATCTTTCCTTTTATAGTAGATGCAGATACTGATAGAGGACAACACATATTTTGTCAAAATTTACTCGTAAACTTATTTGAACCCGGAATCAGTCCATGTAAAACAGAGTTCCCCGATGTAAAAATCAAAAGACAAATCATAGATCACTACTTAAAAGATATATGCAACATAACACAACAGTATGGAATCTACTCCATAGAATTCACCTCACCAAACCATAATAATAGAAAATATACAATTCAAACAGACGATCTTGATTTAGAATTTTCAAAAGTTTTTTCAGAATATATAAAAAGCATCCAATACCAAAACTCACAAAGAGCAAACTCCATTTTCACCAATGAAGTTTTCGCAATAATATATAGTTATATTTCAATATTAGAAAACGAAATCCCATTAACAAATGTCTCACCGACAGAAACATCTAAACATTTAAGAGTACGACATGAAATCACACTACTCTCTAGTTATTTAAACATCATTAAAGAAAATTTCACGAAAGACGACGTTTCACAACATACCAAACACGATTTACAAAAAATTTTGGCATGGTTCATAATAGATTATTTCACACACAATATTGATTTAATTGCGCAAGCAAGAAAAAATTTTAGACCCCAAAATTCGAACGATGATACCGCTATCACAGAACAATCAGATTATGTTTGGGACCCCGAATGGTCTCATCCCGCATTTATAAGCTTTCCACAATCAATCTCAAGTCAAGCAATAGGTACAATATCTTACATAAGAGATTACGTAAGAGTAATACCATTAACAATTGATGCAACACCATTAAACTATAATACATTTTTACCCGATACACAAAATAATAGTTTAAACTCTACAGTCATACACAACGAAAACCTCAATGGAACTAGGAATCTTACTCAACAAGATATACAGACACCATCACACTTCATAAATGAAGAAATTGTACACACAACAACTACACAACAAAGTATTTCACCAATACGCCCGAATTTAACAACACCAAGAAATACAAATCCTTCACAAACACAGGTAACCTTACAATCAACCGTTAAACCTTCGGTTGCCCCTAAATATTCACATATGGATTACCAAACATATAGACCCATGACAATACCATCAAAAACACGAAAAACATTCACTAGAAACAACTTTGCAGACCATAATTATAATTATACACATCCGTCAAAAACAAATTATCAACCACAAAGGAATTTTAATCAATATACAAAACCTCGAAACTGGGATAACCCAACGGCCCAATATAATTCCAAAAATTTTCAACCAAATCCTCCACAGGATCGCAGTGAAAATTACCCATTTTTTCAACAAAATAAAAATAAAAAACAAACACCTTATCAAATGGATTATTTATCCTCAGATGACGATTTCTTACAACCAGATATATTTGCACCAAATACTCAAGAATATCGTAGACAAGGAATACAGAAAACACGTACAAATCATAGGAATTTTTCTCCACAACCGATAGATGCACAACATCAACAACCAATTCAACAACAAAATCCAATTAATACACAATCTTTTCAACCAATTCAACAACAAAATCCAATGACTGCACACTCGTATCAACCATCACAAATGCAAAATGAAATACCACTCCCATATTATCTTCAACAACATGAAATAACAAGAAACCAACTTTCAAATTTTTCTCAAATGCCAAATGCAGCAGAATCATTACAAATGACAATGAATCCATACCTAATGGGTGGATCATCAATAACATCAAACAAACCTTTAATGGTTTTCACAGGAACAGACCCTGAATACTCTGTAGAAGATTACTTAAATGCAGTAACAGCAAATTTGATTTTAAACATTGGACCTGAACCAATTAATACGCCACTACATCAAAACTGGATACATCGACGCACAGCGTTGATACAAACAACCTTAGATGGCGCAGCCCAAAAATGGTTTTCAGTACTACCTCTAGAAATAAAATCAAACTGGAAAAGATTTACACAAGAATTTTCAAAAATGTTTGACTCCGAAAGAAACAAACAACAACAAAGAGTTTTATGTAATGAAATTCGCAGATTACCAAACGAAACCATCAAGCAAATAGCAGTACGAATCGAAACACTAGTTCGAAAAGCATACTCACTAAATACACATGACTATAAAAACACAAAGATGACAGAAATCTTAATGATGACCTTAACACCACAATTAAGGAAAATAGCAATAAAAAAGAGAGCATCCCATCCTTCTTCAATTCGAGAACCCGATTTAGATTTTCGAAAACTAGTAGACAAATTAGAACAAGCAGAAATCACGATGAAACTAGAAGAAACGGAAAATCTGAAATTACAATACGTTAACAGAATTGAAACGACTCCCACTAATATTAATAATATACAGGAATCAGAGACAGACCTCGTTGAAAAAATCACTGAAATACTCAATATTTACGAAAAGAACCCAAACTTCAAAGGCAAACCATCTTTCAAAAAATGGTGTAATTATTGCCGACGATACGGACATAGTATTTCCGAATGTAGACAAAAACAGCAAGACAATCAAAATAAACCTCAAAAATACAAAGAACCAAATAAATCATTCTATCAATACATGAAAAAAGATCAAAATCTACCGAACAAAACAGTCTACAGAAACAATAGTTCAGGAAAACCACTCCCGAACAATACAAATTATACAAGAAATCAATC